TTCCTGAAGCAGGAATCTGAAGTTGCTTATGGTCCAACTGTAAGAAAATTTCTGGACACTGATCTCTGGGTAGCACCATCTTTCGGCTGTAGCGTCTTCTGTCATATCTACTGAGGTAGTTTGAAAGTTAACCTGGATCCAAAATGAAGAAACAGGACTTTTTATTTTTCAACCTGGGGTCACAATTGCAGAGATCTGTAAAAGGCAAACAAATACTCAGAGACTCATATTGGGGTTCAAGCTTCAAGCTGAAGATCAGCGAGGCAAAGCAGCCAAGCCACTAGCTCTGACCTCTTCCTCAGGCTCCATGAGTTCTCAATAAACATCACACTGCTGCCTCTCCTCAGCTTAACTGGAGATAACCATAGGACTGACTACTGAAGACCCTACTCCTAATTTTATACACTCTAGTGCTGGGATAATGGGCATAAGCTCCGTGGTTAATTTGGTTTAATCTTCTCTGGGTAACTAATATGGGTGCTTTACTATTTTGATCTCCAGTGACTCCAGAAATAGTAAGCTATATCTGTACTGCCAGAGATAGCTTTTAGTCTTTTATTTCTGTTTTCCCCTCTGTTCCCACTTCTATGGTGCTGGAAACTTGGATATCTCTCTGAAATTTTCTCTCAAGATTTCAAAATTAGTTTCAGAGAAGAGAGTTTAGGCTACTATGGAAAGTTACATCACTCGGATTTCTTTTCTAGATTGAATCTTAGGTCAACAGGTAACTATTTTGACAATTTTACTCAAATGTTGAATCATACGGAACATCTTATACACTTGTATCCAAGAGTGTAGTACTAGGGTTCTCTAGAGCAACAGAACATATGGAATGAACCTCTCTGGTTGAAGAAAGGAGATTCACTAGAATGACTTAGGGCTACATTCCTGTCAATCCCCCAATGTCAGCTGTGAAGGAAAAGTATAAGAATCCAGTACTTACTCAGTCCAGGAGATTGTATGTGTCTGGTGCTCTTCAGTAGATGCTGAAACTCAAATAAGCATTCTCTAATGGCAGTGAAGTGACGGACTTGCTGTAAGGTGAGTGCAAGACCACAGAGTGCTGCAACTTCCTTCTTGCATGCTTTATATGCTTCCAGAAGAAGGTGTATCCCAATTTAGTGTGTGTCTACTAGCCTAAGATCTGGATTAAAGGTGTGTGTCTTCAGGCCTGGTGCTTCTGTTCTTATGCTTGTGTTTTCTACCTTTAAGTTCAGTATTTCAAATGGATCTCCTACTCTAACTCATGCAAAACTTTCCCCACAGTTATGCCATCCATTTTAGGATTTTTCGGTTAATTCCAGGGGTGGTCTATTTGGGAAGCAAGTATAACCATGACAAGTGCATTTTGCCTGACTGGATTATTCTTCTATAAATAAAGAAATGACTTCGTTTCCTACACAGTTGTTATTTACTCTTCTCATGTTGTTAAATATTCCTACCGCCCCACTCTGGTGCCATATACCTTTAATCCAAGCCCCTCAGAGTCACAGGTAGACATTTCTCTGTTAGTTCAAGGCCAGCTTGGTATACAGAGATAGTTCTACATTCTCCAGAGCTGTTACACAGAAATACCTGTTTGTGAAAAAAGTAATATTACCATGAGCATGATCCAGGAAGAGGATTTTTTTTCTGTCAGTGTTCACAATATGGAACTCAGGATGGAAAAATTCCTTTATGGTGGGCATTCATCAGGGTCAAGCAGGATCCTGTGAAAATGGCTGTCACCTTTTCTACCTTTCATTCCATCTAAACTCACTTTCCTTTGGAAGGCTCCACCAAATTTCACTGGTGGTCTTGCCCTTCCTCTTCTGTTAAATCTCCTTGAACACAAATTCTGATCCACTTAAGTGTGTGCTATCAGAAGTCCCTAAAGACCACTCATTTTGCTCATGCTGGTTGCCAGAACAAAGCTTCTCATTACCTCATAATTTTCATCCCTCACTTGTAAGTCTGTCTTCTTCAATCTTTGACCTCCCAGGCTTACTCTGCTAGACTTAAAATTGTAAAAGCATTCTGGTTTGCAAGGGGTTCTGAATATATTCAAGAGTTACTGAACTGCCTCTTCCTTCAAATATGAGGTCTTGAAATTAACAAATATAATCCCTTCAAAGGAATGTTTTCTGAGATGGAATAGCTATTACCCTGACTCTGAATCCAGCTAGTGAAAAATCGACTATGCTATTGAATTACCACCTCCTATAATTCTGCCAAAGTAAAAAAAAAAAGAAAAAAAAACAAACAAAAACAAAAGAAAAACAGATTTTGCTTCAATCTGTTTTTGAAGAAATCTAGACAAGAAGTTTATAAGGCAGGGTGCAGCTAGTAGGATTATAGAAGGTGAAGAAAGGGGGTCAAGAATGGTGATATCCACCTCATGTTGGACTTCTCATGAGACACTGGCCAGAGGCTTCAAACTGTTTCTTACATTTTTTGGAGATTTATCTGTATGACTAGCAAGTGGGGCTGAAATACTTTTTCTAGGCATGATCATCTGAGAGGCAGGGAAAAGACCACCACTACAGTTTGTTGGAGTCATCTGGGGACTGTGGTTCTGGATAGTATATAGGGGAGGAAATAGGAGAGCCACCCTAAGGATTTCCTGGTTCTGCTTCGCCCTCACTATATATGGGCACTTTGTCTGATGTCAACACTGTGAAAACTAAGACCACTGACATACTCAGGAGAATCCTTCTTCCATGATGCTGTTTATAGCAGCACTCATTGTAAACCCACTTGATATGGGTATTCTTGGTTCTCAACTTGGCAATGTCTGGAATTAACAATACTCAAAAATGCAGAGCACACGTGTGAGAAATTATTGCTTAAGTTGAAGTAGACAGATCCACTTGAAATGGTTACTTTTAAGGGAAGAAGACACATACCCTTAATCTGGATCTAGAGCTGGGAAGACAACTTTACCTCAGCCCTGAATTTTATTAATTATTACACATTATTCATTACAGACATATTCCTCTAGATGAGCATGTCTCTGCTCAACTATATTTAAAAATTATGCAAAACTGAAATCTTTTTTTCTTTTATTTCTTTTTTGTTTGTTTTATTGTTTAGAGTTTAAGCCACTCATAGAAAAATCAGCCTCATCTCAAATAAGTGCTTCCCTTGATCCACTTAAACTCCCTGAGTATTCCAGGCTGCCACTGAATATTCCTTTTATGTCCTGAATATAATGTACAGCAGGACACCAGTTTTTCCTGCTTCAGAATCTGTCCTTTGTGGACATGGTCATATTTGAAGGAGTTGACATTGGGTTAGGGGTTGATTGAGCTTGTCTTTGTTTTGTAGCGGGAATCTCATTTAGTATCCAAAGACACAACTATAAAACTCAATAGATTTCAGCCACCTCTGTTTCCCAATGCAGGCCTAAGTCAACAAGGGGTGCTTAGAATATCACATTTATTACATATTGAGAGAAAACTTACTTATTTTGACACATTTCTAGTGAATGTTCACAGTAACATTCCTGTACATAAGCAATTCTCTAAATTTTATATAAATTAGAAACAATCTTCTTTTACATATGAATCCCAGTATCATCTCCCTCCCATTCTGCAATTACCCTCACCACCCCCATCCCATACCCCATCTACTCCCAAGGGAGAGTGAGGCCTTCAATGAGGGAATCATAAAATCTTTCATGCCCCCCTTGTTTCTGGGCTAAGAGAGTATCCCTCCATGGGAAATGGGCTCCTGAAATCCATTTGTGCACTAGAGATACATTCTGGAGAAAGAGTCACCTATGCTGGCAACAGAGCAGAGACATCCCCTGCTCTCATTGTTAGGAGTCTCTTTTATTCTCTTGATGAAACTTACCTCTGTAGTTCCCGCTTGCTTACCTAGATTTTTGCTTTTTTCATTCCCTCCCTTTGTGTTTACTTTAGTGTTTCTACTTACATTTTCAAGTCTTGAACCATTTTTATTTCATTCTTTCAAATGTTTGTTTTCAGGCTTTTTAAAAAGGGATTTATTAATTTACTTTATTTGTGTTTGCTTTATCCTAGATTTCTTTAAAGAATTTATGTACCTCTTGTTAAGGGACTCTATTGTCATAAAGTTGGTTGTAAGGACTTTTACTTGTGCTTCAGCTGTGTTGGAATAGTCAGAGCTTGCTGAAGTGTGATATCAGCCTCTAGTGAAGATACAATGCCCTGGTTGTTATTGAGTTTTGTTTTGGGTTTTGAGGGCGGGGTGTAGTTTTCTTATGCTTTGCATTGCTTTTAAACTGGCATCTAGGATGCTGGGATTGCGGGGATTATAGGTCTAGGTAATGGCTTCTGGAGTTGTCATGTTTCGGAGCTCTTCTGACTGTTGGTGTTCATTTTCTCTCTGGCAAGTGTGTGATTGATTGCTCTATGCTCTCTGGTAGGAGTTGCTCTTTGGACTTGATAGTTTTGGCAACTTGGAGTTCTAGGTAAAAAGTGTTTCTGAGTATTCGCAGCTGACACATAGAAATGGACTTGGGATAGAGGTCTAAAGGGATCATAGGAGGGAGTAGAGCACTCTTGTAGCAGAATCTGCTAATTTTGTCTCCTTGGAATAGGAAGATACAGTGAAGAGAGATAGCCCCAGAAGGTCTGCTATAGCATTACAGATGAGACTGTGGTTGAATATAGAGGAACAGAAGGAGAAGGGGAAATCTGTTGCTTGCAAGAGAGGTTGCTTGCATCCTTGGCAGGATTGGTTAATCTGGACTATCAGGGAGTTTGTGATATGTCTCCTCTTGTTTAGGTATTGTGTTTATACAGATATTTTACCTATAATAGTCAAAACTTACAATTAGATTAGTTAGGTTTTCTAGATATACAGAGATATATTTGAGATGGATAGGTATTCTTCAAACTTTTCAAAGACCTACAGAAATATGGCATTTAAATGGTTTAGGGTTTTTCTTGGCAGTGAGACACAAGTGCTTCTGGCACACCAATTACATCAGAAAGGAGGATGGGCATCGAAGAAACTCGTTATACAGTTTGCTTTCAACACGGCAGGATTAGCCATATGAGCAAGAAACTGCTCTTGCCTGGACTGTTTATTGCTGTATAAACTGGACATGCAGGACCCACAAGAAAATGACTGCTGAACTTACAAAACAAGATGGTACTGAAGGGTTCCTGTTAAAATGGAGAAGTTTGCTAGACACACCGTGGCCTATAGGCTGAAGACCGATGCCCCAAAGTTAAAGAGGAACTTTGGGTGACTGTCCAGGTAGAGAGAAGTTTCTGTCAATTCTAGAGGCTGTCTGATGCTGGTGTGGCACTTAGGAGTCTGCACACACATTCCCAGCTTAACAGAGATGGAAGGACAAAAATGGGGTTCTGTAAACAGAAACACTACTGGAATCCATAAACTGATTTAAACTTTTTATTCATTTCTTATAAGTTTGGGTAGAGTTTTGTATACTTTAGTTTGAGTACAGCAGAGTCAAGCCCAGCCCTCTTCTCCAACCCCATTATACTTCATTTACAGTTGAATTCATGCCTGAGCAACCATAAATAATATCCCCAATTTTGGTGTATAGAATCCAGAGATGCCTTTCCTACCAGGAGTCATTGGTAAAAACACTGGCTGGTTCTTCTGGAAGATATAAGGTCACTATTGCAGATGACATGTTAGTTGAAGATTGTTGCATTTGTTTTTGCTGTGGAACATTGTTTAATGATGCAAAGATGTGTTGCATTCTTTAATATTACATTTGTTTAACTCTGTGAAGATGTGATAATTTACCTGTCTAAAACACCTGATTGGACTACTAAGGCAATAAATGGTCAATACCTAGGCAGAAACAGAAATAGGGAGGACTGTCAGGCAGAGAAAATAAAGAGTAGGAGAAATCTGGGAAGAGAAGAAAGAGAAAAGGAGAGAGGACCTCAGGGTCCTTCCACCCAGCTACAAAGCAAGCCATGGAGAAATATGTAAAGAAAGGTATATAGAATAAAGCCAAAAGCCCAAAGGCAAAAGGTAGATGGGATTATTTAAGTTAATGAAAGTTGGCTAGGAACCAGCCAAGCTAAGCTCAGGCATTCAAAAGTAAGAATACGACTGCACGTATTAGGGGTGTGAGTGGGAGAACCCCAAAAAACAAAGACCAAAGTGTAAAACCAACCAACTATAGATCACACCTAAGCAGGGTTTTAGGACCTCTTCAAACATGTGGGAGGAGTCTCCAGAAGACAGTCTAATGAAGATGCCTAGAGGGGTCTTTCCCAGTAAACCTGTAATGGTTGCCACATCCCTTTGGGCATTGATTTAGGCAGAAGGAGGCAAAAAGAAGGAAAATAAGCCACACCTCAAACTTCCCTCTTTCTGCTTCCTGACTGCCTGAAGCCACGCCCAAAGGGGTATGGCCACCATTACATGTCCACTGGCAAGACTTCTACAGATGCCAGGAAACAGAATGGTTCTGCTAGCAAGTGAGGATGTCACCCAAATCCAGCCGTTAATGTACACTATAGATCTCAGAGACCTCAGAAGCATGAGCTGTAATAAAATCCAGTAACTATGCTTTAAGATACTCTGCATTGTGGAGGTCAGCCAGGATGAGTGGGTGGGCAGCATTCGCCACAGAGCAGACCCTGCAGATGCTATTCTCACACATGACCTTCAAACGCTCCAGGCCATACTTGTCAGCAGCTGTCAGGAAAGCATCTGCCATGCTTTGGAGGCCAGGTGCCTTCCCAAAATGAAGTCCATCATTGCCTTGAAGCCTTGCGGTTCCAGGTCATGAATCTCAACTCAGTCCTTTATGTTCTACTCTTTGTCATGTTCAAACATGTCTCTGAAAACTACAGAGTGAGGTGCTAAGATAGCATGGTGGCCTCGGAATTCCTGGCCAGCGACCAGAGGGCAGCACTCTGTGAAGTGGGAATTCTCCCACAGAACAGCTAGCTCATCTGCTGCCGTGCACCTTTGAACTTTGATCTTGGGTGATATTTTCATTCCAAAAATGCAGGACCATGTTCACCTTGTGGAGGAGGGTAAGCTCATCACCTGGATGAAGCCAATGTGCATAGGAAAAGAGGAAATCTGGATGGATGAACTTTTCTGAATACCCACTGTTAGTCTGGAAAGGACCTAAAGTTGGGTTCATCACACTTTGGGTTGTCTCTCCTTAGGTGCTTATGATCCAGAAATGGAACTTTGCTCAAACAGAACGCTCTGGGGAACTGAGCAACACTAGGTAAACTGGCAGGTAACCTGTGCTTTCTTTGTCTACCACTTCAAATGTACTCTCAATAACCATTTCAGTTTGTGATTGACTCCTGATGAGAAAGTTGGACTTTTAATGGCTCCCTGAATATCCTCCAGAGAAAAAAGGAAGTGGCTGATGGCCCACCTGTAGGAGAATCTCTGTCAGTTTTGACTGCCTGGACCCTGACATTTTTGCAGGCAGCAGTTTGGATGTTGGACAGGATCCAAAATGAAGAACTAGGATTTGTTTTCTCTTT